GCTTAGCTCTTCCACGTTAATTCCAGCTTATACATCCTAGTCCTTTACTATCAAGGGACGGTTATCAAACTGGTGAATATTCTGTCTTAGCACTTCCTCCTTATCATTCAAAGAGCTAAACCGAATCACAAATACTCCATTCCTTTTACTCCATTCAAAGAAGCAACACCTTATCAACATTCCTTTTACTTCAATATCTTCTAATGAATCCATTCATGATGGGGAATGGTATTTTAGCTCCCAAAACATAACAGATTATGGATGACTTCCAGTAATCAATCTCACTTTGAATCTCATCCTTGGTTATCTTCGTTATCATTCTATCATTCACAACCTTAGGTTCAATGAAACTCAATTTCTTCTTACTTTGAGCTAAGATTTTTGGATCAAATCCTTGCCAAACATTATTATTCCCAGCTACCTTATCAACCTCAGATTTTTCAGATCTTGACTCTATCTGAGCTTTCGAGCTCTCACCCACCTCAATCACCTTCCGTTTACACAGATCTTCAAAAATCAAGTTCGAATTAGCATATTTACCTGAGCTTGAGCTGATCTGAAGTTGCTGCATCTTTCCACTACCAGATACAATCTTCCCTTCTGAATGGTCGTTTCCTGATTCCAATGGTTGTTTGCTTGCACTCTCCTGACCCTCCCCTCTCTTCTTTGATTTCCTCGCCATTGCAGACTTCTGTCGGAGATCTGGACGGTGACACGCAGTAAGCGTGTTTTCGCCCATAGTGAGAGAGAGAAACGAAAAATGATATTTAGAGGGACAGATACTCTGTACTTTCTTCACATGAAACAATTGTCAATCTTATTTTAGACACGACAATCTCATTGCATAGTAAGAAACTATAAATTATAGTGATAAAAAACATGCAACTCCATAATGGCGTGGTTTACTCGGCACAAAATTGTGGATACGTAACGCGAGTTTCCCAATTGTACCAATTCAAGACCTACCTACATATATCTATACACATACATACATACATACATACTTAATGCTACCGAGAAAAAAAAATCGATAGGTAAAATGCTAACTAAAATGATTTATGATTTCTGCATGGTTGCCGCCTGCCAACAACCAAAATGATAAAATCAATGAGTAAATTTAAAGAAAGAAAAAAGAAGCAACAGAGGTGAATAAATTCAAATACTAATTGATACTGAGAAAAGTTGTCTTTTCATAATGGAACAATAATTTTGGCACAATGATCTACACCAACCGCAATAAATTAACATCTCTTAATTAAGGGGGTCAAAAATTCAATTCGTGCTCTATATATATTCCTCTTTTACCTTCTTTCAATTCTTCATGCTCTGAAACAGCTTAGAAGTGCTCTTCTCAGCGCAGCTTTACAGGTTTTAATTTGAAAAAAACCTTTTCACCTAAGTTTTAATTTTCCGGTCTAAGAGATTTGAGTTCCTTGGATTCCTCTCTGGCTGTATATATTTCCTTTTCAATGTTTTTTCTTCTATTGACCTTTAATCCCATTAAGGAATTTCGATTGAAGTTTATCGAAGAAATTGCTTATGATCGTTTTTCAGGGATGTTTATCTTTGCGTTGCCCTCACTTTCCCAACAAATTATGAGATTTGCTATAGGTGACGATGCTTGATATGCGCTGCCGGTTTAACAGTAGAACTCCGGTTAGGGTTTCCTGCAAAACAAGGCCTCGGGGTCTCCCGAGGGTAGACACTCTGATGCTTAAGTCAGTAAAAGGGTTGCTAGAAAGTTTAGGAAGGTGATTTGTTTGGCTTGCGTACCTGTATTGTGGTATAAGATACCCTATTTATAGGTATGAGATTACCTGGAATATTACCGAATCCAACTAGGTTTCAGGAGTTTGCACCGCGCTAAGAGTCCCGGTTGGACTCTTCCTACCCTTGGCGGGCCGGTTTAGTCTCGGTGATGGATATGGACTCGCCAAGTGCCCCTGCTAAGTGTTAGTGACGTAAATACAAACAACACTTGGCACAAAATAAGTATTACCTGAGACATACCCGAGAGTGGATAACTACCCTCGTTCGGTTAATTATCAAGCCACATGCCACACATCCTCGATGCAAACGCACAACTCTCAATCTTGGAGGATCAAGAGGAACTGGCGGGTCAGGTCTTGGCCCGGGAAGACGACCCGCTTCCCAATCCCGCCCAAATTTTCAATTGTGCGTTATTAGCGGGCACGTTCCCCAAACGGCAGCCTCAACATCATTACTTCCTTGAAACCCGCAATAACTGTCATATCGTGGTCCATAATTAGAGGAACGTGGGGGAATCAATTTTGTTTTTAAGGAAAGAAAACTCTTCCGTCATTTCAACACTTAATCCTATTCCTTTTTTGCAAAAACACAAAATCTTCTCCTTTGCAAAAGTATTCCAACCCCCTCTGCTCTTCTTTACCAGAGCATCCTAATTTTCTTCCCGGTCGGAATTTTCCAGATTTCGCCTGACATACTGCCCCGGCGACGCCGTTTCCAGGGGAGTAGAGATTTGAAGCTTCTGAACGACACTGGGGAGTTATAATTCGAAAGGCGAGTGGTCACGTCCCTCTTCCATAGTAAGTTTGTAGATCTAAATCTTTGATTTATTCCAAGTTTTTGTACCTTTTTGTTGTAGCCAGAGTAGATCCTTTGCCGGAATTATGGTTAGGGATTCCGAAGGAAAAACTGTTTTGGACTTTGTATCCACCATAGATTCGGTGGATAAGGTAGAGAACCTTAGATCCAAGTATGACTTCCCCGCAGCTCTAGAAGCGAGGGCTCCATTAGGAAACGAGAGGGCTAATTCTCCTCCAAGGGAGAGAATTAACGTGTACGATAGATTTATGCATCTAGGGCTTAGATTTCCCCTCTACCCCCTGTTTGAGGAGATTGTTCAACACTATAGGACTACTCTCGCTTGTTTTACCCCAGATTTAATTACATTTGTACTGAGGTTTGCGAGAGTGTGCCAGCATGTGAAAGTAATACCTCGATTGATATTGTAGAGGTATTTCTTCCAAGTAGTTGTGGCTTCGACTTCTTTCCAGGATTGGTATATCGTGAAATGACGCCTTAGAATTGGCGTGAAGAAGATGGTCGAGGCGTATGGCAGTTCTCTGGAATGGAAACCAGACTTTGTGTTTGTAAAGACGCATGCGAGTTACTGTTTGCCATGGAAACTCCGAGAGACAGAGGGTCTCGGGGCCATAAAAGATGAATGGACCCAAGAGGATGAAGAATGGATCGAGGAGTTCCAGGCAGATGTGGAAAAAATCTTTAAATATTCGAAGGTCGGTAAATGGAACGACGTACAATATTATGTGCCCCCTGTATGTGGGAAGGAAAGAGATACGGTTAACATCGAGGGAGCAACCAGAATTCCCCTCGAAATCTCAGTTGAAGAAGATCAAGGTACTAATCATTTTCTTTTGCCTCTTCTTTGTTGTTAGGTCATGTCATCGAGCAATGCTGGGTCTCGATTGTTTGGTGATGAAGATCCTTTTATAATTGTGAATTCAGATGAGGATGTCACTGTTACTGCTATCCCTCAGAAGAAAAAGAAGAAAAGGATCGTGAAGGTGGACGATAGGGCAAAATCCAAGAAGGCCAAGACGGACGCGCCCTCGAAGGAAACCACACAGCCGGACATCGAGACGGTGCCCCTTGCCACCGAGTCTGTTCAGAAACCTGTGCCGGAAGCAGGGCCAAGCATAGTTCCTCCTGCGGTCGACAAAGGCAAGGGCCCTCTCGAGGGTGAAGCGATAATCTTGCCCCCTCAGCTGTTCGAGGGTGGTCTGTCCGTGGTGGTCCATACGTTTAGCAACCCACCGTCGATCGAATGTCCTGTTCTCGAGGAGTTCACTGCTCAGCTGAACGAGGCTGATAGTTTGAGACTGGTAAGTCATTTTCCAGATTAGGTCGTAAATGCATATGTATATCAATGTGTTCCTGATATTATATGTTGGTACAGATAAGTGCGGTCTCGATGGCCTATCTAGTGCAGCTAAGGAAACTTCGAGAAGACCTGGCTACAGCTCGGGCTGAAAGGGATGAGACGTTGTTCGAGGTGGTTACTCTCGAGGAGAAAGCACGCCAGGTACAAGTTAAGGAGGCCGAGATCGTCGAGGTGCAGGCTAAATACTACGAGCTCGAGGAGAAGATGAGGTTGTTTGCCAGCCTGCACATCTCCAAGGAGGAACTACATCAGTGGTGTAGTGCCTTTATGAGCAAAATGATGTGTAGAGGAGGGATGGCGGTAGCCCTCGAGGAGATGAACTTGGTTGCCACCAAGTGTGGTGCGCACCGAGTCGGCATGGCAGGGTTGAAGAGGCTGGACCAGCACAGGCCAATCAAGGCCAAATGGTTCAAGCAGCTCCTGATGAAGGACCCAAAGAAAACCATGCACGAAGCCATGGTAAAGGTCTTGACAAGGTTGAGCCTCAAGCAGCTTCCTCTGTGGGGAGCTTTGACTGGCGCCATGGCGAAAATGAGTTCTCCCGCGGAGATTGCCTCGTTTCCGGGCGACGTTCCTGCTGTCCTGGCCAAGGGTCCAAGTGAGGAGGATCCCATACCCGAGGTACCCGACGAATACATGGGTATCGAGCTCGAGGACGCCGATGAGGAAACCGAGGAGGACGTTGCTGATACCGGCCATTCCGGAGTTCAGAGAACTGTCGAGGACGCCTCCCAGGCCCCTTCCAAGGATCCTTCCAATAACCCCTTCCCAGGTAGTGATGCTGTATGAATCCTGCCCTCTGTAATAGTTGCTAGGCCATTTGAACCATTTATTTTCGTTGTAATGAACTAATATTCTTCTTTTTTTTTTTACGAATTTATGCAAAGATCTCTTTCCCTTCCATTTCTTTATCCTCTGTGCTCTTTCTATTTGGTTTGATATAAGTGCCTTATACGTCTCTGGTGAAACAGAAAAGTTGGACCGTTTACCGCGTTCACATAACAATTGATGGATTACTGAATTCAAAGGAAAAGAAGGACTAAAATTCAAAGCCATGATGCTTGATGCTCAGAGAGGGTACATAAAGCTGAATTGAACCATAAATTTTGGCATATGAATCATCCAGCCAACTACCGCTGTTATTACAAAAATTAATGCTCGCCTTCTATATAATTCTTCTGCCTTCATTCATCCATATTCCTTACCACTAAGTTTCTTTTAGCAAGATCTGAGAAGCTCCAAAATCCCTTCAATATATACTCATTCGAATATTCCTTAACACCCCCTAAATGTTTAATTGAAATACTCTTCGGTTCTTCAATATTTTCTGAACCATGTTTACAGGTTACATCTTGGCATTGGGAAAATCAGTTTACAGGTTCAAGTTTCTTTCTAAATTATTTTTAAGCTTTTCTGGATCTCTCTTTTGCTTCGTTTTTCTTTCTTCAATTCATCTTTACAATGTACGACTGCTATGTTTGGAAATGTCTTTTTTTCTATTATCATTATTCTTGCAGTATTTGGTTGAAATATTAGTCATAGTTTTGTCATTTCCTTGAGTTAGTTTATACTTTATACTGACCAAATTTCTTGCTTTTGATTAGGTCTTCCCCAATAAACAAGAGACTGCTCGCTCCGATTCCACATTTAAACTCCCACGAGTTTCTTGCTACGATATTCCATCACCCCATTACCCGGCAAGGTTTAGGGAGTCCAGGGATGAAATGGAACCGATTGCAGCCTTGAAAGAAGCTATAAAAGCTAGCACCCATCAAGCTCGGCAAGGATTTCACCCTTTCCAGCCCGATTTGAAATGCAAGTTGCATTCGGCTGTTTGAACTCTTGTCAATTAGATGTGTTTTGTGTAGTAGTACTTCTTTAGCTAGTTTCTTTTGGGAAAATTAGATCCGTTTTTGGAACATCTGCTCGAGGACTTTCCAGATTTTGGAGTCTCGAGCGAACCTGGGTAAGTTAATTATGTCCTTTCTTTTGTGTCCTTCATTATGTGCAAAAGTTACTTATCTCCTTTCTTCGTGTCCTTTATCAAGTGCAAAAATCTACCTTTGGCTGTTGTTCTTGGGTGAACATGTATATTCACAACAAAAGAATGTGCACTATCTGTGAAGTATATAATCATGATTCGAACTGCATATTAGTAGTGTTTGGAATCTACCGTCAATTAAAATATTATGTTGTAGCTTTCACCGGTAACAAACAAAATAAAATATGATGAGTCACCAATTTACCATTGAATTTGTACAATTTTTCTTGATTCGGTATGCATTGACTCGTTATATGTGCAGTATTTATGGATTTGAATCTTACCACAAGTAGATCCTTGCATATGTTTTACGCACATCTTTGACCAATACAAGTACACACAAGTTTTAGGAGACACACCTTGATGGAATTCCCTGATATGGTTTCTCCAAGAACCATAAATTGGAGTATGATTTTTTCTATCTCCCTATGGACTTTTCTGATAATCAGGGATATTTTTAGTAGTACCCTATGAAATTTCCTCATTTTTCTTTCCCGAAAATTATCAAAATCTTAGTCCAATGAAACTTTTGCTAAATATGTATTCTAAGGAGGCATAACCAAAAGCAACCATGAAGATAATGGATTTATTAAATGATATGGTAACAACATTTCTGGAAGGTAAATTTGATCAACAAAACATGTGTGAGATGTCTTGAGCTAATAATGGGAAAAAATAAATTCCATCAAATCCTACTTCAGCTTTTTCTTTTGTTTTTTTGATAAACCAATCTTTCTTCTTTCCATACTCTCATACACTTGATACATCATGCGTTACATGTTTATAATCAGTGACAAAAAAAAATATGATTAAAACAAGGAAAAAAGGCATTGCTGAAAGCACTTCTCGTAGGGAAGTAAGCACTTCCATGTTTATAATCAGTTTGATTAATTTGTCTTTTTCCCTTCTCTGTACTTGTTACTTGTGTGCCTTAGTTCCTTTTTTTTTCTTCTTCTTTTTTTTTTTTTGGGTAAGATTGGGAACCTTTTTTTCCCCCTCAATGTATATATAAGATTCAATTAAAATGGGTTTGAATCTTCTAGTGTTTACTATTGTGGCAGTTCGTTGAACTTTTAGTTGTTTAACATTCTTTTTGGGCAGCATCTCCATCTTTCCTTACCAATGTTTACATTTGGGTTGTAGATTGATTAATTAATTAGTTTGGTTGGTGATTTTCAGTTATGTTTGTCTAAGATAAAATTATAACATAGATTTCTTGAATTGAGAAAAAATTGGTTATTCGTCACAAGAAAATTTCGATGATGAATCAGATTATTCTTAATTACTGACTTAAATTCATAAGATATTATGATCAAACAATTGAACTTAATGCCTAATCGAGATAAATTTGATAGAGGAACAATTTTTAATACTTAATAAAAAAGAAGTGTATTGATAAAGGGTGTATACGCTGTTTTAGAAACTTTTCATACAGAAGTTAGTTGCACTTGCTCGGGCTAAAAAGCAAAACAATGCCATGAGAAATCTTCATAAAGAAAAATGTTTTTCTCTTCAGTCCTTAGTTTACAATCCTTTGATGAAAGGTTTACTCATCAATCCCGTTGTTGGAAACATCTGTTTGAGCAACCTTGATTTAATTTCCAGCCTAACGTGTCCGGTACGAAGTTTACCTTACTAACTTTGCAGTAAATTCCTTGACCTTATTGTCCTTTGATCAATTAGAGCAAGTCGATATGTTATTGTCCAAAGTCAGGGCTTACAAAAAAAATGATGCCATTTTTTGACCTATTTTAAGAACATTCATGGAATTACACTCAATCATTTTAAAATTATCGAAGCAGCAGATTGTATTCGTACAATTCTTCTTAAACATTCGCAAACGGGTCACTTCCGCCCTAAATCTTGTCAAATTGGCTTTATTCGATAATTGTACACTCAAAGTAACAATTCTCATTGTGATTAATTTGATCAAACGTTTTTGACTAATTGCAAGAGGTAACCTAATTTTGATTGTAACTGAAGCATAACCATTTTGATTTTTGACAAAAGAAAAAGAAAGCTAAGGGAGTAGTGAAGATTTTCTTCAAGGGTTATTCTAGTTTTTTTTTCGTTTCAAGATCATTCTTTCTTTCAAGTTTCTCCAATATACATTTGAAATTTGAACAAAACTAATTATTTCATTTTACAAGTACAATAATACGATAAATCAATAAATTCAAAGCAAGACAAAGAGCAGTAGAATTCAAAGCTTGATGCTCTCATTACTAAAGGGGATGTAAAATTAATTTCACAATAATTTTTTGGCATGTGCCAACTACCTCTCTGTGGGAAATCAATGCTTGACGTCTATATATTCGTTTGTCCTTAATTTATCCATAAATTACTGATCTTGTCCTAGAAAAGATCTGAACAAATTTTACTTTTCAGTGCTCCAATTTGATCTCTTAAACCCCTTTAGTTGTTTTACAATCAGCTCGATCAAAGCTTTGACGTTGAAGTAATTTTCTTGCAAGTTCGAATTTCGCGCAGCTCCATTACTTGGAGCTTCTTGGAGTTGCCGTTTATCTTGATATGTTCTTTAAATATATGTTTCGCGATTTTCCGTTGTAATTAGCTGGAGTCATATGTTTTTTACTATTTATTTGCTACGTTAATTACATCATCTAACTTACGAATTTCATTTCTTGCCTTTAGCCTTTTTTTTTTCTCCCATGCAACTTCAAGGAGAATTCGTCCAATAATGGAAGCCCGCTGAAAGTAAAGTGTAATTGACAAAATTATAAATGTCCCATAAATAGGTTCCCAGGTGGTGGACGCGACCAAAATTATGCTGAATATGTTTCCTTGGGTGTAAGAAGAACGGCGGACTAAATTTGTCTTAATTACTCAAGCCTATCTCTATTTTATTTTCTTTTTTCTTTCTGTCTCAATGTATAGAGTTCGTTCAAATGGACAAGCTTTACTAAGTTGTAAGTATGAATATTACGTCGTTTGTTGTATCGGCAATTTGTCGAACTTTAGTTGTTTTGCAGCATTCTCCATTTTCACATTCAAATGATTTTAAGTTATGATCGTAGTCCTCTGTTTTTGTTTTAGGCTAAAGACAAAAATCACAACATAAATTTTAAGAATGTTTACTTGTCAACGTTTCAGAGCAACTATACTTTAAGCATTAGTTCAATAAAAACTATGTAGATTAACTTGTTAATAAATAACTCTTCCGTTTTAGATTATTATCTTATTTGTTATAGTAATAAAAATCATTTTTGAAATGGACGGAGGAATTAACATAGAACGGGGTACACATTCTTCACTTGATTTATTATTTATATATAGATTCAGTTAATGGTCTGACTTTTGTTTATCAACCACAATACAATGATATAACAACGGGACAACAAACTTGACGAGTCCAAAATAAACCCTAGGCCTATTGGCCTAGGATTAACTTACTTGGAGATTAAGTCACCGCTTAAATCTATTTTGTTAGGATTTCAGGAAACAGGTAACACAACCTCTATATAAAGAGTTGGTGTCTCTCCCATAATACACATCATATACATGATACACATACCTATCTCTCTATTTTCTCTATTCCCTTACTGAATTAAGTATCGGAGACTTTACCCTTGCGAGACACCCGAAATTCTGTCTTGCAGGTTTTAGGCCGTCCGCCGCTGCCTAGATCATCATCGCCTTCCGTCCTAAAGCACCGCACAGATCCAAGCTTCGTCAGAACTCAAAGGAAGAAATTAGTGACAAAAAAATTGGAAGCCTGATGACAAGAAATTAATGACAAATTCAGAAAGGATTAATATATTTATGGAACCATAAATTTTTGCGGGTCATCCTCCAGCCAACCACTCTTTCTACAAAAATCAGTACTGCCCTTCTATATATAATTCTTCTACCTTCATTCGTCTATTTGATAAGTTTCTTTGTAGAAGATCCCATCAACTCCCCAATCCTTTAATCCTCTTTTTAATTTCTTTGAGTCATATACTTAACACTTCCCGGTTCTTCAATGCAGAAATTAATTTATAGGTTCGAATTTCGTTCTCCATTATCTTTACTCTTGTTGTATTTTCCTCTATGTTTACAACGTGTGTCTCCTTTGCTTCGCAATGTTCTTTTTTGTAGTAATTGGCTGAAATTTTTAATCATAATTTTGTCGTTTCTTTGGGTTAATTACTCTGTCCAGTTTATATCTTTTGTTTCTTTTGTTTAGGCTATTTCCTGATAAACAAGGGGTTCGCTGCTGGTCGAGCTATGATAGGGATCCAAAACTCCAAATGGAGACGGCTATGATTTCACATTTAAGTTCCCACGAGTTTCTTGCTACATTTAAAAAATATTTGCAATGTTGTGTTCCCCATACAAATCACAGGTGGAGATATCTTTGGGATGATGTCGGAAGAGTAGAGATTCACAATACAAATTGGTCCATTCTTTGTGAAAAGAATGGACTCGAATTGTTATGTCGCTGCTCTGTCCATGCACTTTCTTTGTTATTCATTTCCTCTCTGTTTTTCTCTGTTTTAGTTATGTGATGCAGAGAAAATTTCAAACATAAAATAGGACCAATTAGGCGATCAAACAATTTGAGCTAAATTTCAGTTAGAAGTGAACTTGTTAGAAGAAACAATCTTTTCTCGCAATAAAAGTTGCTGTCTTATTGATGAATATCGATGAAAATCTTTTCAGAACATATATGATGGGACATAGCCTCTTTAAAAGAGATAGATCCCACATGTCACACTTGGGCTTCATCAATCGACTCATATCAGTAAAATAATTATAATTGGTCTATAAATTTTTCATCGACACCCTAGTGGT